GGGTGAACAGTAAACTAGAGAGGCAGATGAATTATAAGGCATAGGGGAAACATTATTTTGACCTCTTTGGGCATTACTTCAAAAATGTTAAAAATCTTGAGAACTTTCCAGTAGAGCATTTAAGGAGCAGGAAATATGACTCTGTAGCAGTAGACATACTTCCTTTAAAACCTAACTGTATAGTGTTGTGGCCCAAGTCTGTGCAGGAGTGCAGTGAGAGTCCTTTTGGAGAATACTTGTGAGGATTTTACTGGATTAGAGATTTGAGAATTAGAAGATTATTTTAAATGTGATATTGAAGTGGGTTTTGTAACTGAGACTGTGAAGATGCCAGAACAAAGCCCACTTGCAAGCAAGCATTCATAATACTGATGTAATCAGTAGGAGAAAAAATGTCATAAAAAGTGTAGCAAAGTAAATGTTCTCACTCAAACTACCAGTCAGGAATAAAATTAAAAAAAAAATTAGAGGCTTTTGTAGTCTAATTTGCTAAAGCACTGGCCTGCCTAATGAGATGGGAGTAACTTGTGTGTGAACAGATTATTGAGGAAAGGCTTGAATAGGTCAGCTTCAAGGTACAGCTGGTCATGTTGACCACATATTCCTTGGAGTCAACACTGGCCCAGTGGTAACACTTAGGCTTCCTCATAGCATGATCAGAACTTTCTGAGCACACCCAGGACAAATGGACACAAAAATTCCCGCCAGAGGCTAGAATTAATTGCCCTCCAATTTGGATTGACATATGGTTGTTGACATCTTAGCGTGCCATGGTGTGAGGCATAGTCTGAGGAACACAATCTATTTCCCAGGAGCTGATGGCTCACAGTTGTGGCCCAGAAGGGGACATTGATACTCTCTGCTTCCCCTGGTGCTCAGTGCATCCTCTCAGCTCACATTGCTCTGGGGACTGTTAAGTGCATTGACTAAATCCCTCTTAATTATAACATGAGTTTACATGTCTGGCTGACAAGTAAATACTTGGCTTGTATGAACTCATTTATGTGTCTGAATCTAGAGCTGAATCTCTCCCTGGAAATGTTTGGTTAATTAGGGAAAGAAAAGATCTCTGAAGATTTTTCTCTCCCTGTTTCATATGAAACACACTTGTGATTGCAGACTGGTGGAAGATCCTGCTTTCTATTCAGCCACTGCAATCAGTGAAAAATCACTGAAATATGTGCTTTGAAGCAGGACAGATAGCATCTCTTAGAAGCCTCTGCTCTGCTGTGTCCCTATTCACTGTCTACAAAGACTTTGCTCGTGTGGCAGCAGTGCCCTGACTCCTGCAGAATTACTCTGGCCATTCACAGGATATCTGACAGCATCACTCAGCAGGGACTTTATGGATGAGATTTTCTGCTGGTGCAAAACCTGAGCAGATCCCTTCACCCAACAGGAGCTACAGTGAGGTTCACATCACCTGAAAAAAAACCAGTCCTGATGGTGCTCAAAAACTTTCCTAGCATCTTAAACAATAAATATTTAGATTTTTGCATAATGATGTCCATTCTCAAGGAGCCTGAGGTGTGGTCCTACATGTTTATGAGTTGATAACTCCTAATTTTAGGCCCAGAAATATAATATTCTCTCCTTCACCCTGGGGTGTAATGCGGGCTATAGAGTAGTCATAAGTGACAAAGTCCTGAGAAATATTTCTGCTTGTCCAGCCAGCACCTGCAGCCAAGCAGGGAAAAGAAAACATCCCCAGGGTTACAGGCACAACCCACAACTCCAGGGACCCAAGTTGGGTGAATTTGGCAACGTGCCCTGTACATGTATTCTGCTGCTTTAGTGATAACTGGTAACATCAGTTGGTGCAGTAGATGTTTCATAGCTGTATAAGGCACAATGGAAAGACAAGAGAGAATGGAGAGCAAATAACAGATGGTAAGGAGGTTGAAATGCTTTATGGTGCTTATTCCAGTCTTAAATGAAAAGGATAATAGTAGCAGGATATTTAGTACAATCATAGCTAACAGAGCTGGGAAGTCTTCATAAGGGAGAATCCAAAAGAAAAAGGCTGCTGATTGCCTAAATCACTTGAATATTCTTAAATCAGTGAGGCTAAATGAAATTCACCCTTGACTATAGTGCTTAAAAGAGCTGGTGCGAAAAGAGGTTGCTTTATAAAAGCTTCTCCTGTCTCGTGGAGACGCTGCCATGGTTCGTACTCCTTAAATCCCTTGGTGAAAAACACTGCAATTCTATGTACCCTTAATGCTCTCAGCACCAAGCCCGAGTCTTGGCTGCGTGTGGTCGGGCACACACAGACACACACACAGAGCCAGCTTTCTGTAGCTGTTTGAGCAAAGGGAAGAATAAGAGTGAAAAGTGACATCGGTTTTGATATGTGACATCAGCTTTCAAGCTGATGAAAGGGAGCAACATGTTCTAATTATTATTCCCCTTCAAAATAAGCCACAAGCTCAGACAAAAGAGGAGAGAAAGGAGGGGAGGAATCCAGGAGAGAAACAGAATCACATTTTCTCACTTATCTAATTAAAGCGAGGTGGGCGAGAGGGAGAGCTCGCTGTGCTCAGGGAGCAGTGCTGCCCCATTTATTCAGGGAAAGGTGGGAAATGGAGGCAGTAACTCCACTGGGCCCATGGGAATTGTTCCATCCCTGACAGAAAAGAGCTGTTCTCCCAGTGCTAATTGGCAGTCAGCATTTGGACATGGTAGTAAGTGGAACGCCGTGCCCCCATGCAGTGGCACACCTGTCTGTGCTGGTGTTTGTGTTGTGGCTGCTTCCAGAACAGACCAGCCTCGGGACTGCCAGGGGCAGCTCTGGCATGTCCCACCACTCCAAGGGAAGGTGCTGGCTCCTGTGTACACTCCATGTGTTTTACAACTTTATTTAAACTGCCCTTTAGCAAGTTGTACTATTTCCTGAGCAGCCTGTAGTGGGAATTAACCTCCCCCGTGGGATTGTGTCGCTCATCCGCAGTGTACCCTCTCTCTGCATTATTCCCTGTCCCGATGCCACGTTTCGTCTTGGCTCCCGTGTAAGGTTAAACGCCTCCAACCTTCTTAAAAAAAGCACTTCCTGAAGTCAGAGCTTTGCCACCCACTGCCATATGTCCACTGCTCCCTCTCTTACAAGGTAATGACATTAAGATATCTGCAGCCAAGTGCCTGACATTTGTGGGGAAGGAGCAGCCGTTGTACCTCCTAGAAAGCACTCCGAAATGGATTTCAGCAAGGGAGGAGTGTCTTCTTTTATGTTTTGAGGTTGATGAGGTGATCTCAAGCCCTACTCGGCTCTGTGCCACACTAGAGGTAATAGGAAGGAGTCAGGAATGTACTGCTCATGGGGGTGGTTTTTTCCCAGAAGAGAAGGACTGTCACTTTTCTGTGTTTGGTGTTTTGGTGTTTTGGTGTTTTGGTGTTTGCATCACCAAACAACTTTTTTTATCCCCAAATAATTTCAGAGTGGCCAGGCTTCAAGTCTTTAGGCTGTACCTAAAATTGTCAGCTCTAGTGTTGAGGAGAACTGATAAGCTGGGGACTGGGAGTCAGCCTGAAACCCTTCATCTCCTTGGGGCCACAGATCTGCAGGCACAAGTGGGGCTCAGCTCCCAACAGGTTGTTGCATTTTTGCTTTGGCAGAGCTTGAAACATGCTGATGTGGCTCTCCAGTAGGAGAGCAGTGTGAATTTGGAGGAGACATCCTTTGTTTTCCTTCTAAATTAAGCCTGCTTCTTCAGTTTGGGTGGGGGAAGGGAAAGTCTTAGAAGCACTCACAGATGTCACTGCATCCCTCACCTGCTTGGCCAGCCCGTTACCCAGTTCAGGACATATCCCTACCCTCCCTTCTCATTGTGCCCCTGCTCCGTTCCCATTCCTGCTCCTGCCCCTGCTCCTGTTCCTGCTGTGACTTGGCTCTCACACCCTGCGAGGACAGGCATGCTGCTGAAAAAGAAAGAAAGAGCCAAGTGGCTTCTGGAAGACCAGAGGCATCTGCAGGCCAGCAGATGCTGCTGGCGCCCAGAGTTTCTTGGGACCAGCACGGACCTCAGGAATATTTATTTGCATCCTGGCCTCAATCCCAGTTGGGATCTTAGGATGCTGCTGCTGTATGAATATTTATTGCAACAGATGATTATCTTTTCTTGCTGCTCACCCTTAGTTTGCATCCTGTTTGTGTGCCTTGCTTCTGGAGTTCCATTTTTTCCCATTGCTCTGCTTTTCACTGTATTCTCATGCAGTGTTGTGATATATCCAGCTATACATAAAAAAGAATAATCTGGGGATGGACTCCTGTTTTTTCGATTGCAATTTTGTGTCTTGGGGTTTTGTTCTCCTTTTAGCCATGTTTGGTGGCAGACAGCTTCATTTGCTCAGGTGTCCTTTACCCTCTGAGGTTTAATGTATTTGTTTAGAAGATGAAACGTACTGTGAGTATTTCTATAGCACCCTCTGGAGTCAGACTTCCCTAAAAGCTAGAGCTCCATAATTTCTTTCACCTACAAATAAACTCTACTAATTGAAAGATTTTTAGCAATTGGTTGACATCATTCAGGCTCTACCACAGTTATTGAAATCTGCCCTATTTAGTGACTTTTGTTTCATATTTATAGTGCCAGAAAGTACTTGTTTGGGGGTTTTATTACAATAACCACGCTCACATTTCAAGGTTAATTCAGATAACTCAAATGCTCACTCCATGTCTCCACTGCACAAGGTGTTCCATTCAGCCTGAATTCAGAATGAGCTTTTATTTCCTAAAAATTCCTCCATACAGTTCTGTATAACAGGATTTGTCTCCTTCTGAAGATTATTTTTAGTCTATGGGACCAAACCCAGCCTGAGCCAGGGAGCTCTGAGGGCTGCTCTGTCCCATCCATTCACTAGGCAGGGCTTGTATGCAGCATCCATGACAAGTGTCTTTCCAGGCTGGATGACAGAGGATGGTTTACAGGCAAGGAAGTGGAGATGCCAAGTGGCTGAACTCTGACATGAAGGCTGCATGTGTTATTATTTCTCCCCCCTCACAGTATGCTGCAGAGCTGCTGGCAGTGGTGAGGCTCCCCTTCATCCATCCCAGCTATCTGCTGAATGTTGTTGACAATGAGGAGTTGATAAAGTCTTCAGAGGCTTGCCGGGATCTGGTGAACGAAGCCAAACGTTATCACATGCTGCCACACGCCCGCCAGGAGATGCAGACACCGAGGACCCGGCCCAGGCTCTCTGCAGGTAAAGCAAAATGTCCTGCAACAGCACCAGCCCCCTGCTTCCACATTTCCTGGACATGCCCTGGGACAGGGCACTGACCTCGGCTCCTTCTCTTGGCTCCTTCCCAGAACCTGGTGATACTTCAATCTCAATTTTCCATTGTTACTTTCCTTCAGAATTTAGGAGCCACTCCCAGTGGATGGACATGGGTGTTCAGATACATGCTCCTGAATTGGGATTTAAAAGGAGCCTAAATTTGAGGAATTATTATATTTATAGTCAGAGACTGTAACGTTCCTCTGTTGTCCTGAAAGTGAGCCCCTTGCCCTCTTTGCCTCAGTTTCTCTAGTTGCAGAAATAGGTGAAGCATTTGGTTTTTTGCCATGGAGCCTCTTGTGGGGAGGATCTGTCTCATACTCATCAAACACCTTCACTTTCACAGCCTTTTGTAAGTATAATATTTTTATATGGTGAGGCTGGTGTAAATACAGTATTTTTATACTGATGAGTGCCAGATCAGGTTGTTTAATGCCTCCAGAAAAAAAATGGATCATACATAACATATTCCCTTTTAAAAACCCAGCAGCTATGACAAACTGAGTCTTCTTTAAAAGAAGACCTTTTTGGAAAAATGCATGGAAAAAACCTAAGTGCTCACCTTGCCAGCTGAGCCCATATCATGGTGATGTGAGAAATATCATAAATATTCACTGAACAGAGAGTGCAGATACCACGTAGGAAAACTGCATCCAAGAAGGAGTCTGATGAAGCAGGTGAATTGTTTTAACATGCTGCCTGTACTTCTGCCTCCCATAAGTACAGCAGAAAGCCAGACAAAACTTTCTGTCACTGCCACTGATGCTAATGTGGCACGGAGATGGCATATCAAACCACGGCATTTGCAGCTTCAGGAGACTGCCTCATCAAGGCACCTTTCAGAAGGACGAGGTGTAGAGGACTTTCAATAACAATCTGCCCTAAAAAGTCTTTCATTGAAGACAACTAATGGTGTGGTGTTTGAAGGGATTTTTGAAAAGTGCTTATTTTATGTATATAAAATTGTAGGTGTAATGTGATCCATTTCCAGAAGCTTGTTGATGAGGGAAAAGTGATTCTCTCAGTGTAAAGGAGGGTGATTATAGTTTTTTAGGTCAGAGTCTAATTATATAGAATCATGTTATTTTGCATATCAACAGCATTCATGGAGGCACAAAGGATCTCTAAACACCCTTTGTGGACTCGCTGCTGCATGTCACATGCCTGTCGAGGTCATAGATTATAATCAAGTTATGTCTTGCACAGGTGATTAGATTTTCTGGTATGGCACAAAAATAATGATCTCTTGTTACTGAGAAATATTTATTTTAAACTGTACAGCACTTTATCTTAATAACTTTTAAGAGAGTAACCTTGCTTGAATGACACAAATATATTTTTTGAAAATGCTAATGAAGAATGACGATAATCCATTACTCTGCAGACGCATTTCTCTCCGCTGCTGCTCCTAATCCCTCTTGTTGGCACTCTCCCTCCTGCCCCGCACCTGTGCACACTTGTCTGTGGGCTGGGAACTGTAACACATCACAGCAATGGCTCCAGTTAGGAGACAGCCCCTGAAACGCTGATTCCTTCCAGCTTGTGGCCTCCTGGTCCTTCTGACCCTACCTCTCCTGGCAGCACATTGCACAGGGGCTTCCAATGCTGCAAAAGGGTTTTTAACACTTGAGCTAAATGCCAAGTCCAAACCATGCCCAATACCTGACTCTTGGATGGAGTCAGGAAACATCCCAGGGTTACACTGTGACCCATCTCTGTGGGAATGAGTCTGGAGAGGAGATCAGATATGACTCAGCTGTGGCTGTGAAATGGGAATAAAACCTCAGAGATGTGGACTTGAAAGTTTTGCATGAACAGACAGTTTGGCTTGCTGGACACCTTCCATGATACGGGCTTGGGGGAGCTAATCAAGCACAGATAAAGCTCAGTTAATAACTATATTAAGGCAGGGGCCATCTCTGTCTTGTTTCCTAGCACCTAGGTAGACCAAGACCATGATCTATGACTTGTTATCTGGGTCTGGGAAATCTGCTTTCTCTGAGAAAAAAAAAAAAAAAGAGAGAAAAAAAGTAACCCATCAGAAAATTATATATTAATCGAGTGCATGCAGAAAGAATATCAGGATGAAGATCCATAATCATAGCTTCACTTTCTCCAGACATTAACTTTTAATGTGAGAAGACATTCTTTAGGTTAAAGTCCAAACACGCTTTTCCTGGATAATGACCAAGCTCTAAAGCCATCACAATCCTTGACAAAATGCCCATTTTCTTCAATGGAAGAGAAGTTTGCTACCTGCAAGTCTCACTCAAAGACTGTTGAAATGAATGGACATCTTTACATGGAACTGCCTTTTTATTTCTTTCCCCCCAAGTTTTGCCCAGATGGCATTCTCCCTCCCTAGTTCTCCCAAGAGTGTTCATAGTGTCATTCCTCACCCACTATTCCCCCTACACACATGCCTGTTTTTTCTCACCCTTCGTGGTTTGATTGCAGACTCTAAAACAGATTTATATACGATACATTGAAATTTCCCTGACTGATGAGTATTTTTGGATGGGTTCCTGCCTGGTTGAGAGATGCCACTTTTTTATAATACTATTTTTCTTACTTGAATCCTAGGAGTAGCCGAGGTAATAGTCTTAGTCGGGGGTCGCCAGATGATTGGCATGAACCAACGTGCTTTAACAGCAGTCACTTGCTTAAATCCTCAAAACAACAAGTGGTACCCACTGGCCAGCCTGCCCTTCTATGACCGAGAGTTTTTCAGCGTGGTCAGCGCTGGAGACAACATCTATCTCTCAGGTAAGCAACAGATTCCATAGAAATAGACCACAGAAGGGTTTTGATTTGAAAGGACCTTTAAAGGTCACCTAATCCAACCCCTCTTTCCATGGGCAGGGACACTTTCCACTAGATCAGGTTGCTCATACCCCCATCCAACCTAGCCTTGAACAATTCCAGGGATGGGGCAGCCACAGTTCACAGCTTCTCTGGGCAACCTGTGCCAGGGCCTCCCCACCCTCTATGTAAGAAATTTCTTTCTTATGTCCAGTCTAAGTCTACCTTCTTACAATCTGATCCTGTCACTACAGGCCTTGATAAAAAGCCTCTTTCCATCTTTCTTATAAGCCCAGCCCCCTTTCTCTTCTCCAGCATGAGCAACCCCAAATCTCTCAACCTATCTGCATATGAGAGGTGCTCCACCCCCCTGACCATTTTCACACTCTGTCCCTGGACTTAATTCAGCTGGTCCACGTCCTTCAAGTGCTGGGGACCCCAGAACAGAACACTGTACTCAAGGTGGGGTCTCAAAAGAGCAGAGTAGATGGGGAGAATCACCCACCAGCTATTCATGTGCTGCTTTTGATGCAGCCCAGGATACAGCCAACTTTCTGGGCAGTAAGTGCACACTGCTGGGTCATTTCCTATTTTTTGTCCACCAATATCCCCCAGTCCTTCTCTGGAGGGTTGTTCTCAATCCATTGACCTCCCAGATTTACTGGGCTGGGAGAAAAGTTACAGGCAGCCCAAAGTGGGACCTGCCAGAGTTTTACCCAGCTGATCCTGGAGAGAAAAAAAAAAAAGAATGAAAAGAAAAGAGAAGTGGAAAGGATGTTTGGAGAGAGGGATTTCCCTGCTTTTGTCATTCTCCATGTCTCTGCGATGTTAACGTACTCTCAGAGCAGTCAACAACAAAATTTTGCAGTTGTAACATGAAGAAAATAGGCCTGACAACCATCAAGCATGCAAAGAGGTTTCACTGCCATAGAAACACAATTTAAAATACTCCCTGTAGTTGAATCTAAATGGTAGGTTATGGAATTTGAGACAGACAGACTGAACTGCTGAATATGTGACCTACACTTAAAGTATTTGCTTACAGGAGCATTCATGTTTTGTATTTGTTGAAACCTCTCTTCTGACAGTACTCACTAGCCCTATAATCTTCTTAGTTTTGGTGAAACTGAGACCATGCTCCTTAAAAGGCTTTAACTCCCAAAGTCTCTCATGACACCATGCCCTGAGCATCACAGTATCTGGATTTTTGCAGTCTGTTGGTACCTCTGCTTGGCTAGAGGGGGAAAAGCAATTCCCATCAGACAATGCAAGGCTGCTCTGATAGCAGCTGAGTGGGGGCTGGATGATTAAAAGAGGAGGCTGGGCAGGGAGGTGCGGATGTGTGTGATCCGAGGATGTCGTTGGGAACACAGATGCACCTGGCATCTGTACCAGTAAGGGGTTACAGCTGTTGCCTTTCCCTTGCCGAGCTCTCTCAGTGCATTTTCTGCAGTAAATTGCTGCCTGTGGTGTTAAATTCCATTAATACTGCATAGAGACCCTAAGAATTGATTGGAAATTATTTCTTGATGTTTTTTCCCCATGCTTGTTTGCCCATGCTTGAGAGCAGCTGGATCAAAAGTCTTCTGGGGAGGCTTTTGTCAGATGTTGGCTTTTAGTTATTCTTAGCCGAGGTGCTTTCCAATATGTACAGCCATTTTAGGCTGTGCCATACCTAGTAACAAAAGCTTAGAATCCTAGTTGCAAAGCTCATTTCAGCTCTTTCCCTTGAACCTGGATGAGTGACTGGGTGGTACTTCATGGCTGCAATAAGGAGAGCTGGAATCATAGCTAAGAGTCAGTTGACATTTTACTTTGCTCAAATGTAGAAGACACAGGAAAAAAGGAAGGGGAACCAAGAGAATTGAGAATGGCCTGCTGCAAGCTCCAAGTATTGGACCTTGCACTACATAGCATAGGTTTGGAAAGCAAAATACCAAGGAGGAAGTCTGGTTTGCTCGTTAAACCATGGAACTGCATGGAACTTCATTTTCTTGGCTTGACCACTGACTCCTAGTGTGGTCCCGAATAAATAATTTCACCTCTTCGTGCTTCAGAACAGGATAGTAAGACACTCACTAAGTGGCTACCTTGGAAGCTTCAAGCAGAAGTCTAAAAGTGACCAATATAAATATTTCACGAGATCATCTTGAGCTGTTTTACAGGAGTGTTACAGCTGGTTCTGTCTTTTATCTGCAAATGAAAATAAGTAAGAAATTTGTCCCTGAAAATTAGAAATTAAGCCTACAGTGCAAGCACTGACTTTATTGTGCCCATATATGTGCTGCTTCAATCCATCACTGTATTAAGCATTTTAGGTTTCAGGCTGGCCTCTGTCTTGCAAGCCAAGATAGACTCAGCCTCCTGACACCTTCTTGCTAGTGTTGCAGTAATTTAATAGACTGGAAGTTATTTATGAAGACTGAGAAGGGTCTATCCCCTTATGTATGTGTCCCTCGTAGTCTGACATCTTGATTTCTTCATGTCATCTTATTAAAAAAACCCAGCCTTTGGGGCGCATGAATAAATGACACAGATATGCATCATCGGAACAGATGCTCAGTATTGAGGGTGATTTATTTTAATTAGTCAAATGTCATTTGAAGAGTTTTTACTTTGTAACTGGCTTTGATTGCTGTGTGCAGAGCTGCTGCCGTTGCAGGATCTCACGTAACTCTCCCCTCTTCTGTCCCCCACCCGTGGGTGCCAGGCGGCATGGAGTCGGGTGTCACGCTGGCCGATGTCTGGTGTTACATGTCCTTGCTGGATAACTGGAACCTCGTGTCCCGCATGACAGTCCCAAGGTGTCGACATAACAGTCTGGTGTACGATGGCAAAATTTACACCATCGGAGGGGTTGGTGTGGCAGGCAACGTTGACCACGTGGAAAGGTAAAAAAAACACCCCAAAACTAAACAAAATACACGTGCTATTTGCTGGAGCTTCTCCTTCATGCTGTGCTAAAGGACTGTTTGCCTTTTAAAGGACACATCAAATGGACTGTATGTGTTAAAATAAGCTTTTATCACAGCTAAGAAAGTAGGAAAGTGGGCAGGATTAGATTTCATTTAAATGCTTCAGTGGAAAGCATTGTTTCAAAACCAAAGAGGAAAGTTGCCAGCTTCTCACTTTGCTCAGGGGAGTGAAGAGAGGAATTAAGTTCTTTGGACATTTTTCCCTGTTACACAATGAACTAATAAGCTCCCTTTGAATTTAGTATTGATGAAAGTCTTTACAGACCACACTAACACTTTTTTTTCCTTTTAAATTCAAAAAAAACCAACAGCAAAGTAAGTATGTTGTATGTGTTTTCCTGGTGTAGCACCTTAGCCTTGACCTGGCTGGAAGATCCTCCCTTTGGTGGTCTTGGCCTGGGGCTGGAACCTGCCGTGTTCAGAGTAAAACAACCAATAAATGGAAACAGTTTTGAATTCCTGGCTGAACAAAGACGGGAGAGAATGGAAATTTCTCTTTTCAAGTAGACTCCAGATGTAATTTTTTTCACATGGAACTTAAAAAAACAGGAAGGAGAAAAAGTGTAACAAAAATATTTCACCAAGTAAAATTCCAAAACCAACTAATTTCTTGTCACCCACGGCATTCAGTAAAGCCATAGATTTTATATCTGTATCAATGTTTTCATTGAAAAATAGAATTCACTTTGAAATACAGTTTTTGAGAATATTCTATTCCAAAAATATCAATACAGTCTTAGCCCTCCCCAAACACTTAATTGGGAAATATATTTGGGAAGTGTTTTTCCTAAGTGAATGTGGCAACCAAAAATATTTTTGTCCGTTTTAAATGCTGAATTTGAATACTTTTTCAGTAACATTTTGAAGCAGGCGTTTTCCAGTAAAAGTTGCCTTAACAGGCAAGACAAATAGGTATAGGTCATTAGGAAGGATTTTGGGGGAAGAAAAAAACAACACATTTTTCAAAAGGTTGGAAACTGGTGTTAGTGATGATGCTTTCAGCAAATCAGGGAAATGCAGACACCAAAGAATGAATGATAAATCATAGCAGTGAATGCAACATGTGAACACTGCTCCCCTCCTTCACCCAGAACTTAAGGTGGGCACTGCCCGTGGGATTGGCTTTGAAGCAAATCTCACCCTTTTCAGCAGATTTGTTTCTGGCATCTGAAGGTATTCATCCCATAATTTAAGTCAGTAAATTTTTAACTAGCAGAACTATTTTTGTGAGCACAGGAAGCAGAGAGCCCAGGAAAGAGATGCTATTTTATTCCATCTCTCAGCAAAGATGAACAGTGAAAGAATGCTATTGAGGAGTCTTGATAGTTGTCATTGATTAAATAATCTCTTTTCAGTTTTCCTTGGGCCTGATTCGTCTCTGCTCTGGTTCTCATGGTCTTTCTTTATCAAAGCATCCAAAATGTTGGTCAGCTGAATGAACCCTAAATCAAGCAGAGTCCCCCCTGCTCCTCTCCTCGCATCCCAGACACCCCAGCCCTCACCACAGATGACATTGCAGCTGCAAAGTCACCTCAGGCTTTCAGCAGCCCCTGCTTGGCTCAGTGCTGGTTTTCCATTGTACCAAGCCCACCAAGAGACCTGGATGTGGGAAAGGAGCAGATTTCCTCCCTATCATTTCAGCACACACTGTCTCAGCCACAATAAGGATGTCTTGTCATGGGGATTTGCTAAACCCGTGGTTATAATTAATCTGCTGTTGTCTATAGAGTGGCTTGTGAGACAGAGCCATGGAAAAAGTGCAACATGGCCTCCTTTGGGCCATGCCAGGAAATGAGAGAAGTTTGGAGATGTTTCCTTTTTTATTCTTCATATTAAAATGACAGTAGGGGGTGACAGAAGTGAAGCACAGCATGGCTGAAGCTGTGTTTTGGAAAGGATGTTTGCTGTCAGAAATGCAGGTGAGGGAAGGCTGACTCTCCTAGCAGTGCTGAACAAAGTCAGGCCTTTTCACACAAAAGCACTTCCCATTTGGACAAGACAGGGTTCAGGAATCTAAACTGATGTACCCATTTTTGCAAGCAGTGAGGATTTCTGAATTTGGATTGCAGCTTTGGAAAAAAAAACACACTAAAATGCAACTAAAATTACTTTAATTGCTGAGTTGGCTGCTGTGTTACAAGCAGTGAATGCCCACTTCTTGACTCTGCTTTTCTTCCGTCCCCTCCTCTAGAGCTACAAGAAACCAACTTTCTCCCACCATGTTTCTGTGTGAGTTGCACATTCCTCTTTCAAATACTGTGTTGGTTTTGATGGCACAGCGTGATACGATCTCTCAGTAAGGGGTAAACCTCTGTCATTCCAGCAGATCAAAGAAAAGCAATAAATTAAAATAATGTGGCATGGTCATATGCTTCATGTCAAGTAATACCAAAAATTACATTTACCTCTGAAGTTATCATTCCTCCCCCCAGTGCAGAATTGCAGACACAGTTTATACCTGGGTTTGTGGTAGTTTTTCACCTCCTAGGAGGCCTCTGAGATTATAGCCCTGTTATCTCCCCAGATAGAGGTGCAGGGGCTTATCCAGGCCTGGCACACAATGCAGTCCTGGGCTGTGCCACCAGTGTGAAGGGCAAGGCACTGAACATCCTCCCTCGCTGGACCTCCTACCACCTCCCCTGGTGCACATGCAGCTTATCTTTCCCAAGCACATTTTGCTTTCTGCTTGCTCAGTCAGCCCAAGCGTGACCATGCCCAGCTTTGGCCAGGTTCTGACGTGTATCTGCTGGCATGGCAAAGGGCATGTCTCCACTCCAAAGTGACTTACCCTGACCTCACCAGTGAGCAGATCCAGAGGATGATGTCTACAGGGTGTCTCACCACAGTGAGACAGAGAACATAGCATTTTCTCCCAGTTTCTTTCTTGTTCTCCACCTGTTCTTCATGGAATTCTTGTAATATTTTATCCTAAATGGTTAAAATCTTACAAAGATGTTTTTACAGCATCTTGCTTTTTAAAAGCAAATGTCAGACCACCTTGGCTATATATGATGGCACCTGCCTGCACTTAATACATCTGCTGCACTATTACAAAGCATTAAAGCAAGCGGGGACCACTGGACTTGTAATGATTTATGGCATCAGCTCCTGTGTCCCTCTCTCCATGCTTGTAGTTGTGTTTGAAGGGTGCAGCTTTACCCAGAAATTCTGGTGCCACTTAAAACAGTGGGTGTTTTCCCATCAAATTCAACAGGGCTGAGATCCTTTACCCTTTATCTGCCATTTGTTTGTAAGGAGGCAGCAAAAATTCCATCTCGATGAATAATATAGGACTATCAGTCACAAACAGATGAATAGGAGTCATTTGTTACCCATCTTAAAACAATATGCATGTGCCAGAGGGGCTGAGTTATAAGTCCATTTTTGTGGCTGTGCATGGGTATATGTTCAGGGAAAGTTATGTTTTTGCAATGAGTGTTTAGGGAAATAACAGCATGGCTGCAGTTCTCCATCAAGCCCCTCTGGCAAGGTTCTGTGTGACAAGAAGCGAGTCATTAGGTGTTAGGCGAGAAGGTATTACACTTTCTGTCTTCTTCTGAGATATGAGTTGAGTTGGGAGCTGGTGAAATGAAGTGTATCCATGAACTAGGTCTTTAGATAATGGATGGGCCCTGTAATATATGCAATTTGAGAGCTGAGAAGGCTGCGTATGCTGACAAGACAATGTATGGGACTGGAAGTGTGGAAATGTGGGTGCTTTGTGGTTATTATATGTTTGAAGGACAGAAGAAGATAAATCCCCTTGACCTGACAGCACTTTTTGCAATAAGGTTGTCTAAAATTGGGAGATTACTTTTGTTGGCAGCGCATACTTTGAAGACAGTCTAAAAAAAATCAGTGTAAAGAATAAGCTTTATACATTTTAGAAACTACTTCAGAACGTACTGTTTTACTGAGATATGATCATGTAGGAATTAGGAGCTCTCCCCCAAGAAAGGTGGACATTTCTTCACCCAAAGGATGTCCAGGCACTGGACCAGGCTGTGCAGGGAAGCGTTGGGAGTCCCCATCCCTGGAGGTATTTAGAAGTCATATAGATGTGGCACTGAGGGACATGGTTTAGTGGTGGGTTAATGGTTGGACTCAATGATTCTAAAATCTGGATGAAAGAAAATTAAATATATTGCCTTGTCTTAGGGTAGTTTCTTAAGCCTGTCAGAAGAAAAGAAAAAAGGCAAAAAATAGTAATCCATTACTGTGATTTTAAACATGTGAATCATTTGAAGAGCAGTTCAATATGACACTGTACAGCTTTAGTTTAAATAGAATCTTTCCTGCAAATATAATTAAATAATGCTTAAATAACTGAAGGATTTCTTGCAGATTGACAGAAATGGTCATTGTGTAAGCAGCTGACCATGATGTAGGGATCTTATAATGTGAATAAATGAAGATACACATATGGCTGTTTAACCTAGGAGGACAGAAATTAAGAGACTGAGGAGGAAAAAAAATACTATTTTCAGGTACTGAAGAGATCAAAAGTCAAGAAGGCAGTGAAGCGAGTGGCACAGGTTGAAATGAAGGGTTTTCTGCTGTTAATACTGAGGTGGTAGGGAAAGAGCAAGGAAGGAGGAGTTGAATGAAATGAATAAAGGAAGGGGAAGATGAGTGCCACAGATGAAATCCTAAGAGTGGAGAGTTGTGGGAGCCAGCAAGGTTTTCTTTCTGCATGTGCTCTCTTCAAGCCTGAGCTGTATTTTCTGCTGGGTTCGGATCATTTGTTGTATCATGGGTATATAAACTATACATACACATACATATATACATTATATATACAGATAACGTGCAGATACACATATATAAGAGATGTAAAAACATGTAAGTTATGTGTCAATAATACATACAGCAGCAGGTAGTGAGTGCACAAGGGTCAGATGAGATCCCTGTGCTCAGTGCAAGTGACATGTGAATGACAGTGGGGACACCAGCTGGTTGCTGGGCAGAGGAATGAGTGTGAGGGCAAGTGTGTAAAACCACACACGAGTGCATAGTGTGCAAGGACTGCAGGCCAGGAGTCAGTCATGTGAAAGGAGATGTCCTTGAAGATTCAAGTTCAGCAAATTGGATGGGCTGGGTAGGCCCAGAGCCAAGGACAAGCATGGACACACCAGGAGGGAGAGGCGGAGGGAAGAAAAACCTTTGCTTGGCTTGAGTCCAGCTCACATTATGTCTCCATCTATGGCTTCAAACAGGGGATTCGAATGCAAAGCTTGACTAATGAAAAGAGATCAAAGTGATAATTCTTTGAATCAGTTTCCTCCCTGCTGGCCCTTGAGCAGGGCTGGTGTGACAGGCAGCCAGCAGCCCCACGAGCACCAGTGGCTGTGGTGTGATGGCAGTGCCAGAGATGACACAACAGATGGAAAAGCCCTAGGGCAGGGAGGTAAAGCAGGTGTCAGTATTTTCTGTCCTGGAAGGTTACAAAGGTTCACCTTCATTCATTTTTAAACCAATTTAGTTAATCTGGTGCAAATCCTTATGCGAACACATTAAGAGCTGACTTGAGATAGACCAAAATGATGGAAGCCTGCCTTGCAGAGACTTAAGGAGCTCAGACTACTTAGTTTATCCCATAGAAGGTGAAGAGTTGACTTTATTATTTTCTGCACGTCCATATGTGAAAGAGAGAGATTTGATAGCAGACAGCTTTATAATCCAACAGGGGAAAAGAAACAAACTTTCTGGTGGGTGGGAACTGAAGCAAAACAGACTAGAAATCAAGTCTACCTGTTTTGCAAGGAGGGAGTGAAGTGGAGGAATAAATTCCCAGGGGATAGAGGGACTTGGTGGACAGCTATCAGGAAGCCTTGAAGGCATCAATTTCTCCTCAGCCTCAGGGGTAGGGTAGACACTCACTTAAGTGAGCTGCTTCACCGAGCAGCCCATGTAAAACCCACATTAGATGCCCATGTTAGGTAGATAAGGACTTGCTTCCACCTGCTTTATGGTTCACTGATTTTTTAAACCAAATGACCTTCAAGAAAAGGGTGGGGGTGTTTAAGCTTCACCACCTGCATCCAGTAGATTTTCAGCCTTTGGCTTTCAGCAGATGAAGTGAAACTCATCATTTTTGGTTTCTCAGTGGCAGATGAAGGACAGTATGAGAAAGAAAGAGCAGCTCTGTCATTGCAGAGCATAAACAGAGAGCAGTGAAAGATTAAAAATGGGGTCTGCAGGACATGAGGCCTCAGTAAGGAAATTCATCCAGAAAAAAGATGATTTGTTTTGTAATTTGAACCTTTCTCCAGTATTCCTATGGATGCAATCCTCAGCCACACCCAGCCCCCAGCATACCTGAAGGATATAAACCCTTCTAACCAAGAATGTGTTGAGACAATCAGGAAGTCATTGCCAAGAATTTCCTTGTCTTGGGAGCTGAAGTGTGCCAGCAACAGGGAACGGAGTTGGCTGCTCACCACCCCCTTCTCAGACCACTTTGATGGCCCACAAATGTTCCTGGTGCTAAAACTAAGTAGATGGTGTGAGCCAAAATGTATCAGTTGACAGGTGAAATTGGTCCTAAAGGAGGAACAAGAGAAGGAACACTAGGTCAGTTCTCAGCTCTGTTGTTTTTCCCATCCTATAACCAATTACAGCCAATTTTTTAACAAGACACCAAGAATTAAATTACCAATTACTGCAATAGCCAAGTTAGCAAAGTATGTCCTAAAAGCAATGCGTGAAACTTTATATTATGTGAGATTTTTTTGCATATCTGCTCGGGTGGATGTGAGTGCTGCTCGCTCTGAGTGCTATGGGTGAATGCATGAGGTGCAGCATGTGGTGACTTACCTGGAGGAGCTGTTTGTGCAGTCAAAATGCATCTGCAGCTCAAGTTTGGTACAAGAATCAGCCTAGTAAAGGTGTGTCACCGTGAATGCTCCCAGCACCATGTTGTTTAATCTTGTTATATTTTTTCCCTTTGATCACTTGTTGTAGATGAATTTAATTTCTCTGTAGCTAATTTAGAGCATCATACAAGGCAGTTCTCCATGCTCATTATAAGGGACTTTCCTAATTTTTTTTAGTTAAAGTTTGCCTTTGCTTCTTTTTTTTCATGAGTGTGTTAATTACTTTCAGTTATATTACTTGGAAACTCATTAGTGTATTTTTATTAAGCACATTATTTTCTGCTGTTTATGCCATTTTTATCATTCCTCCCTTTTATTATCCCCAAGTTCAAACAGTGAAAATTTGAGGGACATGATACAGAGGGAGAATTCCCTTGTTGCCAAATCATATTTTGCAGATGGGTCCATGTTATCAATTCACTTCATGTTTGCATATTGCATATCACTGCCATTAAGAGCAAAACCCCTAAATGGGTGATGAAGGCTTCTGTTCTGGCAGTCAACAACTCTGAAAAATCACTACGCAGGAAACTCCTGTTTGACTGCATCTGTCATTACATGGAAATAGAGAAACCTAAAAATCACATTATTCTCCACTGTCTCCAAGATTCATATTAGAGCAGCTATTTGAATCCCTGCCACATTATCTTTTTTAAAAAGGGGATGCCTGTACTTACGATGTTGTCTAAAATGAATCTTCATCCATGGATTGTTAACTGTACATCCCTTATGGTCAATGACTTAATTAAATCAGATACTGATGACCTCAAAACCAATTTAGCACTTTCATGCATACTCATTTCTGTTTGATTCATGTCAAATACAAATGCAGTGGTGAAATCTTACCCCAGCATTAACAGTTGCAGCATCCTGAAAACAAGTAGCTTGGTTTACACAATGAAAATTAAATGGAAGCAACTTATTCTGGCACAAAATGGGAGTTGTTGCTCGGTTAACTAGAGTAAAAGGAGCCATCATGTTGCATTATGTTGCAGGTGAGATGTGTTCCACAAGCTGAACAATTGAAGTATATTAACAGTTGCCTGCCCACAGTCACTATTGGATATCTCCACACTGATTAGCAAGAATAATCTCATTGTATACTCATTAAAAGAAATTAATCAGTGGAAGACACCTCAACAAAGATGTCCCGAGTTTCTTTACCTTGGACTATAATGAGATTTGAGAGGCATATACAGAAAACAGAACCAGCTTTCTCTGGGCTTCTATCAATGTTTTAAAACCTTAGAGAAAAGCATTCATTACACCGTTTACCAAGTGGCTGAATTTGCGAGACATTAAAAAAATAAAAAAATTTCCACCTCTGCTTTTCTTCTGCTTGCCAAGCTGCCTTTCTGTGCCTGTCAGTGCTGCCCAGCGCTCAGCTCAGCTCAGCTCACTGTGCCTGCTGTCATCCCCAGGTACGACACCATCACCAACCAGTGGGAGACCATCGCCCCCCTGCCCAAGGCCGTGCACTCGGCCGCGGCCACCGTGTGCGGGGGCAAGATCTACGTCTTTGGAGGGGTGAACGAGGCCGGGAGAGCCGCGGGGGTCCTGCAGTCCTACATCCCCCAGACCAACTCGTGGAGTTTCATTGAGTCCCCGATGATCGGTAAGCCACGCCTGGTGTCAGAGCCGGTCTCTGTGCTACAGGTATCTTAATGCCTGTGCAGAAAGCAAAGGAGCTGTGGGGTGGGAGGGGATATCCCTATGACGTATTGGCAGGGATGCATGGATATTATACCAGAGAAGCAATTACCTGGATTTCTGCTGAAGGCGATTGTCACTCATTAATACGGACTAGTTGCCTGCTAGAAGTGATGAGCTCAAAGCAGGGGAGAAAAGAAATCAGTTACTAGGTATGAACAATTAGCCGTTTTGGATCTAAAAGATCTCCAAGTGTAGTGAAGTGAAACTTCATGTTGGTATCATGTGTTGTCCCATGTGGGCTCAGAGCACTGCTCAAGTAGTGGATTATCACTCATGGGTTTGTTAAAACGCTGCCTCTTCTATGGGACGTGACAGGCATTCTGAACTGGGATTTATCAGTGGTGTCCACAGGCATATGTGCTTCAGAGGCTGGCAGCTTCAAGATGTAGTTTATTAAAACTGTGTTTATTAGTTTATGAAGCCCTTGAGCTCTCCAAATATAAAGAGCAAGACAAGAAACCAGATTTTCTAATGTACCAGCCAGTGTCAGAGGTGGTAACTTTCTTCCAAAATTAGAACAGCACTAAGAAGTTTGCAACTTACTTGCTTTCTGTTGCAATTTGCACCCTGAGTGTTGAGGCTGCTTTTGGAAATGAGGTTTAGCGCTCAGCCTGGCCAGGATGCTCCTGCAGGCAGCAGCTGGCCTGGGTTGTCTGCTCTGCACTGGGCTCTGCCAGCCTTCGCTCTGGCTGCACCCAAGTGGCCAAAGAAACAATTCACACACAGTCATTGCAGAGAAGCTGCTTTCGGAGGGGTTTGCCTTGTCTACCTCCTAGATCAGGGAATCATGCAGTGGTTTGGGACCTTTAAAGGTCACATAACCCATGCAATAAGCGAGGACATCTTTCACTAATTCAGTTTGCTTAGAGCCCTGTCCAACTTGACCTTGAAGTTTCCAGGGATGGGACATCTACTGTCTGTCTGAGCAACCTGTTCCAGTGTTTCATCATTCGTGTTGAAACTGTGACTTCGTTTTTAAAAAATCATCTTCTTATTACTGAGCCTTAGAGCAATAGGAGTAGCAAGTAAGTAATTGTAGAAGGACAGCTGTAAGGCCTAAGCACCATCAGAAACTTAGAATAAGCTGCTTTTTCCGTTGCAGCTTGTTAGGATGATTCCAAGCCGTTTGCCGGAGTTCCTGGTAGATCAGGATGTGAGGAGCTGGCTCTCCGTGGCCTCAGCCCCCCTGCCCAGCCAGTGCCACTCCGGCTGCTCCCTCCTGACACAGCCTGACACAGGCATGGAGCAGCCAGCAGGAGGGCGTTAGCCAGCCCAAGGCACCTTTGTGTAAGACAGCAGCACAAACAACCCCACTGCTGGCTTTTTCCATCATGTGGCTACAGCTATTGCTGCTCCTTTAATCCACTGCCTGGCAGTATGAGGTTTTCCTGGACTCACAGCATTCTGCAAAAATGAGTGTGTTGTGTGAAATCGTATTCCTCTTCCTAACCCTAATAGTACAAGTGCCACAGGAGCTAAGGAATCATCCCCTGACTCGTTACAGTCTAGCAAGTGTCAACACCATGCGTGCATAAAAGAAATAATCTTAACATCTAGAGTTGGGTTCATCACCCATTGTCCTAATGGACATGTACTATTATTTCTTAATACTACAAAAATACATTAAAAATACTTGTGAAGTTAAAAGATGGTATTTATGTTTTCTTGGTGCAAAATTCATTAGTTAAGCTGAAGGCATAAAATAAATAAGGAGTTCTTTGTTGAGTATTGTATAACGTCAAATTACTTGCAAATAACTTAAAATAACACAGAGTCTGAAAAATGGCCCCCCTATGGAGAATATCTGGGAATGTGAACTGGTGTGATGCCTGATCTTCACTACAAGGCAGTGGGAATGTTGGTAATATATTTTAATTTCTCCAGCTCTACAGAAACCATAGGGCCACTGGTATTTTTAAAGTATCCCCCCAAGAACTGGATGCAGTGCCAGGTACAGTACAGTCTAAAGGAAAGAGAAAGTAGAAGGAGCCTTTTGCAAAATGGAGCTGGGATCAATCGTGACATGATCACTGCCAAGGTGCCTCTGACAGTCTCAGAGCCTTTTTGTGTTGATTTGTGAATTCCTAAGTTGTACCTGTGAGCTAATGCAGCTGAGATGGTGAGTTGTTACAAAGTCACCCCGAGATCAGTGAAACCTGTTTGACCTCAAATAGGACAACAGTTTATTTAAAAATGCCTCAAGCATGCTCAGATATGCAACAGAAGCTGCAGGTATTGAAAGCAGACAAGGTCTGTGGAGATTTTTAGACCAGTAGCACCTGTCTCAGTTCACTGTGGTATTTTATGATAGTGAGTTGAATGCAGCATGGCACACATTTGAACCCTAAAGGTCCATCTCTTTCAAAGCATCACGTGCCAGCCTAACCCAAGGCAACACTGGCATCAATCATGGCTCATGTTTTGTGTGGTCTGAGTGAAGGTGAAGCACCTGGACACTGACATTCTGCCTGTGCAGAGGAGATATAGACTGGGGACTGATAGCAAGTCATGCAGCTCAGCCCTTGCTCTTCTGCCTGGAATTCTTCTAGGAATATGCAGTGAATTCATTCCCAGTTCCCATTTATTCTTTATGCTTCAGCTGTCAGGAGGTGTTGGGATGTGGATGCCTGTGAGCAGTAGGTATGGCACGAGCTCACTGATGCTGCATGTGGATGCTGTGGAAGCCTTTGGGCGACTGCTGGTCACACACATCCACATTTGGGGAGGAGAAGGCCTTCCCCAATGCCCCATCCTCTGCCCCTTGTCAGTCCTTCCCACCTTGGAGTGGGCGGATGTTCCTGCAGCAGTGCAGCCCACAGCTGGATGGCACTGGGGAGCCTCACAGGGCTTTCACACTGCATGTTTATAGTAAACCACATTGCACATCCCCTTCTATGTTTTTAGACGTAAAAACAGAAGTCCTACATGAATAAATGAACCAGGGCTATGTACTTGCAGCACCTGACTTTCCATTTCTGGCCAAGCTGTCCTATATAGCTGTGCTAAAAATATATTCCATGCCCAGCTTCCTGAGCTTTGTCTTATTTAACAAGATGACCATAGATATGCTGAAGTCAGGGATTCTAAGTAAGCCAAATTACTTGGTCACTGTCTTTTAGTTTACGTTGTGCCTTCATGACAGGGCACTAAAACACACTTTTTTTAGGTACTCTGAACAGTCAGTGTGGAATTGAAAGTTTTAATTAATATTTTTGGATTGTAATAAAACCAGTATTTAATTACCATTATTATTAAATTTTAAAATCTGGTGAGAACCAGAGAACAGAGATCTAAGTTCTGTGAGTATTTCTGGTTTCTAATCCAAGTGTCTAGTTCCTCACCATACCATTTACTCCTGCAGTGATAAGTCAGACCAAAGTAGGACAATCACAGACCTAAGAATGCAAGATCAATCTGGAAAACAGCACTAGAAGGATCTGTGCATTTTTACTGCACTGTTCTGTGGCTTATTTTTTTTTTATTTTTTTTTTTTTTTATGTACAAGAAAAATCAGATATATATCTTGGCACTCTCCCAAGGCCAATAGTTTGGTATTTGTAGGGGAATATGGCTGGTTTTCACCCAAAAGTCCCACAGCAATGAGTGTTTCATCTCATTCTTCAGTGTATTTTTCTTCCCCTGGCTGGTTCTTTTCACCCTCCTAAGCTTGAATTTTTATCTCGCCCATTTTTCCTCTGTACATGCCATGTGCTCCCTTCAGAATGACATTTTCCACTTAGTGTTTCCCTACCTATTCTTTGCCCTCTGCCCTGCAAAATCAGTATTTTTGTGTTGCTGTTTTTCCAATGTCCTCTTCACTCGTACCTCTCCTTCATCTCCATGGCTGTTCTTTTTCCAGAACTCTTTGGTTCATCTACATCGTGCCCATAAATGTGATGCTAAAGCTGCCCTGCAGTGGCAGGAGCCTCCTGCCACCACACATACACGAATGTGGTGTTTGCAAGTGAGGACACTTGACTTTGGGGTCTCCAAGGAGGGTTTGCTCAAAGGTCAGTGGGAAAGGTGGAGATCAGCTCCCAGGAGAGCTCTGAGCCTGCAGGGTGACATCCAAGCCCTCACTGTTCATGCAGCAGCTTCACCTGGGCCTCACCTGGACTATGTTCAGGATCAGATCACAGTCTCCTGGTTATCCTATGGCCATGCCATTCTTGAGTTTGTCTGAAGAGTGTTCAAGGAGGGGAAGAGGCACTGACTATTAAAAGCAGGCTTAGTTTGTATTTACCAGACTGCATTCTCTAATCTGCTCCATCAAGTGCATCAGCCTCCCCATCAGGCACCCAAATCTGCCAAGAGACAATTTGGTTGGAGTTCTGCCTGGACTGGTGGCACTCCTGCATTTCTTCCTCCCAATAAAAATGTTTAACTAGCTTGGTTATAATAATCTTTTCCATATGAAGTGCTGCTGCCATGCATTGCAGTGCCCCCTCAATCTCTGACCGAGTGCATTACTGGAAGGCAGTGTAAGATCTTTGAGCAATCATGGAAGGGAAAACAGGTCTGTGCTACTTGGCCTTGTAACACAGGGAGAGATGTGAGAGCCATGGACACGTCCCAGGAGCAGCCTGTCCTCCCTAAGTGAGGAGCACAGCAGCAAGTTAAATCATCAACCCCATGTGAAGGACACCTCTGGCTCAGGGATTGTCATGGAGTGCACACTCCTTCCTCCAATGGCCTGTCACAGAATAGAACTAGTGCCTTATTTTCCTGTAGCAAAAGAAAAGGAGAGGAATGTTACCCTGTTATCCACTTGAAGGGAAGATTACCTTTTATGTATTATTTCATTTACATGTATTCTGCCTTCTAATCTCAAGTGTGTTTGTTGACCTGGACAAATCCCATTTAAGATTTTCCAGCCTGAAATGGATTACTATATCCAACAGCCTCAACACTTAAGACTTTGGAGAGGAAAGGAGGTTGCTTCTCTGTTTCCATGCTGTCTCCCCCCTCTCTTCCTTTTCTCCAGCAGCCTTTTGAAATAGCCAGTGGCCCTGCTGTATCCCACAGAAGCCTCTGACACATAGAAGCCCCTGACACACAGAAGCTCATGTTCACACCCAGGAGCTTTGTCAATCTCCTTTCCAACTTGCTGCACATGGACCAAAAAGCCCAACCAAAACATGCTTTTGCAAAACTGGGCTCCCCACCAGCTACCTTGCACTGGGACCATGTTAAGGACTTCAAACAGTGACAGAAATGGGAGTCTCCTGAGAGTTTGCATGAGCATACCAAGCCCTGAAAAAGACATCACCACAGGAAGAGTGTGGGTTGCACCTGAGATGAAGTAAGGTTAAAGATTGAAGGTGGTCATCCACACCTGAATATCAGGAATGATGACTTGAGATTTCCAAAATCCCAGTATCCATGAACAGTTTCTGTCTCCATGGTAATAAAACAAACAAACAAACCAAAAAACCAAACAAACAAATGAAAAAAAAAAAAAAAAGCACTGCTTTCTCTCTACCTGTTTGTGGAGGGGTGTCCCTCATGTCTTTTTGCTGTATCTTCATCAGGAACAGGAGACTTTTCTGGGAAAAACTTCCTTCCTGAAAGAAACAGCAAGGATTTTTCTGTTTCTGTGTCTGAGACTTACTTGATACCAATTTATTAAATTATAGCTAAAGACAAAAGCAGTGAAAAGAAAACAGATATGAGGTGTGTTGAAATATTGATGAGAATCAAACATGATTGGCTCTAAAAAAACAGAAGAAAAATACCAAACTGTCTGCCTATTCAAAAAGGAAAAAAAAAAGTCACTATAAAAATACCCAAGGGGTTTCCCTCTCATTCTTTAACAAAAAGAAATGTGAAGTCAGTGATTCAGTCCCCTGAGAAGTTACTGTTTCTGCTGTGAGGGAGCCCCAGATAATTTCCCTGTGAGATTTGGGAGCTGAGGGGATTTTTTAATGTAAGAGTTTCATTCTCCTGCAAAACAGTGCCAGTCAGAGAAAAAAAAAAAAAGAAAAACAACAAGAAGATGTGATAATTAAATACGGAAAATTTCTGGTGAGTGTCTTAAGTGGAAAAAATGTCACATATGCAAGTCTGATTTGGAAAGGGATGCAAGCTGGGTTGTTAGGACAGATAAGCCTTTCTGATGAATTACAGTGGCTTAGTGGCACCGTGAAGAAACTGAATACTCCTTGTTCTATTTTCTGGATGAATTAGTTTCTTCCCATCTGTTCCCAAGGATCAGTGACATTTTCCTAATACAGCCGTGGTTTTTTTGACATATGCCTGTAGATACTCAGTGTAGTAGGAGCTCAACTTTAACCCATCACACGGGCTCTGTCTGTTTCCCTGCTGGGTGCTTCACCCCTCTGGGTCCCCCTGGGCTCATGCCAGTGTGGAATGGGATGAACTGAGCCAGACCACCCCATGGCTGTGCTGGGACAGAGGCAGACAGCACAAAACCATTCTTTCCATTCTAGTTTTACCTGCTGAAACCTCAATTAAGGAGGTTATCTCGTTTCTAGAGATGTTCATCAGCTTTTGCTTAACTCCTGTCAAATTAAATTGCTGTTAAATATTTAATGGAATAAGGTAGTTTTACAAGTACCTCAGGGTTACAACACACCATGCAAGAGGTAAGCAAATCCCAAAATAAAGCTGCTGGATCTGGTTTAAGGCCATCCTTTTCTGTGTTCCTAAAAGGACACAGTTGTAATGCTGTAGATTTGGGAGGAACATATAAAGCCCTTTATGTTTTATGTAGAGGCTGGTATCAGAGAGGTAAGAGCACAGTAAAGGTGGTATCTCACCTCCTCTCCAGCTTCAGCCCACAGGTCCCCTTGGGAGGAGGTTGCAGGGGCTGAAACCAGCAGGACTGTGTCCAGTCTGATTCCCTGTTGGACTTGCAGGGGGATCAGCCTTTCCTGAGCATATGAAAATGCAGATTTTGGAAAGGCTTTAACTTATAGCTACAAATGGAGAACTTTTATGTGTTCCCTGACCCCAGGCTGGCCTCCCAGGAGACATGCATTGCACACCCCAAAGGCCTAAGCCACCTGCCTCTTAGAGAACTGGTTGTGAGGCTTATTTTAACTCAAAGCAATACATTTTCCCATCTTTTGTTCCCAGACACTGCTGATTGGTTTCACAGAAATGTTGATTAAAAAACTGTATCTCATCAAGACAGACATCATCATGAGAAATTTCAGCCCAACTGGCTCATATTTAATAATGTGCATATGGCGTGCTAGCAGCATAAGGGACAAGCCAACTAATTAGATTAGAATTATTTTATTCAATAATTTATGATTAGTTTTACTAATATTTCTAATAAAGCCACAGCTAACAAGAATTTTAAAGCATCCTCAGAAAATCTGATTGAACTTGACTCAGGATGAGAGATTTGCTTAATTTCAAACTCACAACCTCACACAGTTTGTTGCTAAATTACAGGAGATACACACATCTGAAAATAAAAATGTAGGTGAATTTATGAGATAGATAAAGATGAAAAAGAAATCAGGTATCAGAAAATCTTCTGGAAATGCGTGGGTGACCTTCCCACAAGCAAAAGCACAATATAAAAGAGTATCAACTATTGGATATTATTAAGGGGGTCTCTATGCTGTGGGTTTCTGCTATACTTAGCTGCTGCACAGGCATGGGAAGCATCTGAGCTAAAATTTGCAGCAATTCAAAATTCTGAAACAATTTGACATCTTAGTTTCATATGTAACTGTGGAACTTTCATGGTGACTCCATTAGGCTTCAGGAGAAGATAATTGTTCTTTACCAGTTTAGAGGGAGGCACATACTGGGGGATGAAGAAGTGATGAACTTTAAAAGTGCCTTTGAGAACTTGGAGAGAGGAGAACAAAACCGGGAAAGGTTTCCTCATTTTTCTTTCCCTAGCCTTGGAGGTTTAGAGAAACGTGACTTATCTATAAATAAGGGGAATGTATAAATAAAAAAACAGTCTCCAAACCTGAGCCTAAAACTGATCTCAGTGTTGCTTTCCATTGACAGATAACAAATATGCTCCTGCAGTCACTCTCAATGGGTTCATCTTTATTCTTGGAGGAGCTTATGCACGAGCAACCACCATCTATGACCCAGAGAAAGGCAATATTAAAGCAGGTCCCAACATGAACCACTCCAGGCAGTTCTGCAGGTGAGAAAAAACATTAAAATGGAATTACCAGTGCCTTAACATTTTCTGTTGATAAATAAGCTACTACAAGTGAAGGGGAGAGGGGAAGGGAGGTGTGAACCATTTGGGGGTTTTCCTCATCTCTTTTCTGTACATGCTCAGGCACACAGCATTTCCCAAAATGTACATTCAGCAGTCTGTTATGGTTCACATGTCTCCTCACGTTCAGGCACAATGGACCATGGGGAGGGAAGTGTGTTGGGCTCCTCCAGTGATTACAGGAATGCTGTTCTCAGTTTGCCATGTGCAACTAGAGGATGATAAATACCCCCTGTAGGAGAGACCACCATAATGTGGAACATTATTGCTAACCAGCTAAAAGATCCTTGAAAGAAAAAGAATACTGAGTAAGCACCACACACCAATATTAATTACTGTTATTTATTAGGTGGTTTTGATGGCTCTTCGGGCTCGTTTCCCTGATTGTGGTCACAAGTTGAACAAATTTCACAAATTGTCTGACAAAAATAAAACTTGGCAGCCATTGCAGGTACTGGCAGCACTTAAAGGCCTTTTAAATAGTTTTACATGGCTGCTGCTGAAAGACAGGATTGTTTTGGGCTGTGCACAGCCAGCCCTTCACAGCAGATTCCTATGCTGGGGAAGGGCTGAGCTGCTGGTTTCCCTGGAAAAGCCACAGCTGGTCTCTAGACACTGCCACAGGCACCAGGTGAGGGTTTGTTATCCATGTCTGATGCAGCAGCAGCACCCTGAGGCCCTGAGCCAAGCCAAAGGGGAGGGGATGTGCCAGGCACCATCCCAACAAACAGTGGCTGGAGTAGAGGAAGAGCAGCAATGGGCAGCAGCAGGGCCCACAGCAGACTCACATCTTCCAAATAATCAACCAACTGCACCTTGCTCCAGGGGTGTCCCTGGGCCCCATCCCACTGTTGGAAAATACTTCCATGTTTTAACTTGGATTTAGCCTTTCACTTCGATATAGATGAGAAAATGCCTTTTAAGAAATCATGCTCGGTTTTTCTCTTTTTGCTGCTTTTATTCTCATTTTCACCTTTTTTTTCCCCTTCCTTTTATTAATTTAAGGGGCGCCCTCTCTTGGCTGCTGGAGCAGATGTTGCTGTAAGCAGAGGAGTAAGAGCATCAGCTCTGTCCTGAGCCAGCTGCATCCCAGTAGATGTTCCCTGTTCCCCTGCTCTAAGGACACATCCTCCTAGCCCCTCCACTCTAACAGGAGGCAAAGCAGGACGAGGAGTGCAGTGCTCAGGCAGCATATAATGACATTTTTCTCCTGAAAACCAGAAATAATGGGTCCAATACCACTCAGGATTAGAGCCCTAAGCTGTAAAATGAAACATGAGGGACTTGGACATTTGATATGTTCCTGCATCTTCCCATCCATCATAGAGAGGGATGAGCTGCTCTTTGAACATCTTAGGTTTGTAAGAAATAACAAGAATCTGTTAAATATACAAGAGAAATTGCATGATTTCAGCTGTTGGCTGAGCATCTCACCTGAAAACTTGCCAAGGTTTCTAACATGAAGGGATGCTTTGCTCTGCATCCTGCAGAACAGAACGACCAAGGAAAGTGAACTGGTGACCTAAATATTCCCTAGTGCTTAGGCACCATAATAACTGACTTTGTTTAAGTAGAATTTGCTACCCGTCCATAAAAAGTAACTTCAAACTTTAAGATGACTTTTTTTTCTCTTTTTCCACTACATTTATAGTGGAATGGTCACCGAAAAAAATACATATAATTGGAAGCAAGAAAGGCACTATCTCAAAGATTCTTGAATGCGCTGGGAAAGAGTCAAGGGAAAATATTTCAGCCTAAAAACATGTAAAGCCTGTGACAAAACCTAAACAAATCTGTGTGTACAGAAATAGGGAAGATGGAGGGTCAGCAGTAACAAACAGATTAAAAACCTGCTGCTGCTACAGGAGGCTGAGGGAACCAGTGCTGAGGGCTGATGGGAGTAAAAAGAAAAGCCCTTAAAAACATTGGGGATCAAATTTGTAATTTGAATCAGTTATAAGATCACTGCTGATGAGACTGATGAGGTAGCAAAGTAAAATACAGACCGATTGGGTGGGTGTTTCTCATCTGTACAAGGGTACAAGGAGGTTTAGTTCCCTGTTCTGCTGTGAGGGACCAAAAGCAGTCACTGTTGGCAGCAAGGAAAGATGGGAACTCTGAAATTACATTCTCAGATCCAGCAACCCAGCTGTCTTAGACACAGGTGTCTTTAGAGACTTCATTGAGAAGCTGATTGAACCACTAATGTTGATTTTTAATAACTTTTCAAGTTGAGGATGGATCAGGGCACTGCCAAAGTGTTTCTGTATTTTGAAAAGGTGAAAAGGAGAATTTCAGTGCAGCAATTAATTTTGCAAAGTATCAGCATCAAGGTAAGTGGTCTCACTTAGCCTCATGTTGGTCCTCTGCAAAATACCAGAGTGGTTAATTTGGGATTTCATCAACAAATAACTAGATGCTAATAAAATAATGAAGATCAATCAATGCACTTTTCTGGAAAATGAAGCTTGTTAAACCACCCTGTTGTCATAGAATCATTTAGGTTTGAAAAGAGCTCTCAAGTCCTCGAATCCAGCCATAAACCTGACACTGCCAAGTCCACCAAAGGTGTTGGGAAGCCTGGTTGCTTTAGTTTGTAATACAACATGCCTGGCTCCTAAAGCCAACTGTGATGCTGTAATATACTGCAATTTCTCCAAGGTATTTGGCTGGCATTAGATGGAATTAACAAGGCACATGGTAGAGAGATTAAATCTGCTTCACTGACAGATCTCAAAACGTAGTTGTTAATGAGAAGATATCATGGAGCAAGGCCACTGGTAGCAAACATTTCTTCCTCTTCAATGCTATTTAATGCATCTATCAACAATCCAGGTAACAGAAAATCTCTCCTGATAAAGGCTGCAGGGGGCTTAACACTTACTGGGTACAAAATGTTACAGAAGGAACTATTTTATCAGTTCCCTGAATATCTCAGTTGAACTGTCTCAAGCCAGCAGTGGTATTTTAAATACAAAGTAAGACATGGAGTAAGCACACTCATAGCAGCCCTGCTCCCTTAGAAAGCCAGGCTCTCAGAGGAGGACATAAAGGAGATCACTCAGAGCAGCACAACATGAGCTCACATCACAATGCTGTGGATTAAAGGTCAGTGCAATATTGGAGATATAAAACAAGCCCCAACACCAAAATGAAAACAAGCTGAAGCTGGGTAGAGCGAGTGCGAGTCCTGGGTCCTGCATCAACATGTGAGAATATCAGCAGAAGTTCAAAGGGAAGCTGCCAAAATGACCCCAGATTGCAAATCAAACCTTTGACATGAAACTCAAGGAGTCTATCAAAGAAAGGCTGAGACGTGACTTTATCACTGGGAGTAAATGGAGAAGCTTTCAGTCTCACAGACAAAGGCATGGCAGGTTACTAGGCCTGGAAAGTCAAGTTACACATCTTGGCCTTGAACTGAAGCACTTTTCCACCAGCAAGGATAATTAAACAGAGAAGCAGCAAGGGAGGGAGTGAAGTCACCAACACTCACTGTTTTTAAGAGGAGATTAGATACGTTTCCAGGAGAGATGCTGCCTGGGGAAATGTCCATGGCCTGCACATACACAAGCTCAGATTAACTAAGCACAGAGGTCCCTTCTGACCTTAGCCCGTGAATCTATAAATTCCTCATTCCACTCATTAGCATGGATCACAAAAAGCATGGTTTAAAAGCAGCAACATAAACAACTTAAAAATTAACTGCATGCTATTGATCTCCTCTCACCAGGAATCACTCAATACTGAATTTGCTGGGAAAAATCTTGACTGCATCACTTTTATTTTTATCTGCTTTGTTTCTACATGTTAGTGATGAGGGAGCATGATAGCCTCGAGCAGAGGGAAAAGAAATGTGTGTGACATTCCCTGCCTGTGAAAAATTAAAGGTCCATTTAAATGGTTTTAATATCAAGTTAAATTACTTTTAATGAAAAATGAAAAATAAATGGTTCGGGTCTCCAGCTCACAATCAACAGAAGAGCAAATTGAGGATCATTTTCAGATTAAGCCCAGCCTGATGGAAGTCAATAAGAAATTCATGCTGATGTAGAATTAACCCTTTGAAAGATGGTGCTAAATGAGAAAACAGCTATAATAGGCCTGAAGCATTTTAAAATTCGTGGAGAGGTTGAATACCTTCCACACAACAGGTGAGGGAAATATTTGACATTTCCCAAACATCAGGCAAGTGTAAGTGTTTTGCCACACACCCTGTCTCAGTTTGGCAGCTCCTGTTTATTTGCAGGATCTTGAGATGGTGGACAGCAGCCAACAGGAATGAAAAGCCAGGATGAGATGATGACACCTCGCTCTGCCAGACACCTCCCTCCAAAAAGACTTGCAGCTATCCCTCCCTTTACAGGCAGGGGTTCTCCCTTCCTGCAGTGCCCTTCAAGGGTTTCTTTTTCCACAAGTGAAAAGAATACCAAATGCATTCCTGTCCATGATTAAAAATTCCATATTCTGCTTGCTTAGGATGCAAGCAGCGTGCAAACAGGCTTGTGCTACAGAGAGCCTCCACGGGGCAACAGCAGCAGCATGGTGGTGCCAGCAATAATTCCAGAGAAGCTAATTTAGTACCAGCAATTCCCAGCAGACACCAGAAAAGCATTTTCTTCCTCCTCCTCTGACTGCTAACCAGTAAGATTTATTAGATGGTTCTGCTGAATGGAAATCTTTAATAAAACCTTGACTCAGGCTGAGCAGCACAAAACCAGGGTCAGTTTGGAGATCATTTTACACACCCACACACACCCACACACACACACCACCTCTTCTCAAGGAAGGCCTTGTTTTTGAACAGCAGAGCATGGTGCCTCCTGTACTGACCTGCCAGGCATTGCTGACCTACAGCACCAGCTACAGCCTCCCCAGGCTGGCTCCTTTCTACCTTGCAAAGGGATTGGAGCACAGATGGC